TCGTTTCCTTCTTTTATAACAGCCATTTACTGATTAAAAAAACTTCCCTTTGCTGTTTAAATGACATTCTATAAATTTGGATATGTAGTGTTTTTATTTTTGTTAAATCAAAGTACTTTTAAATTTCCTTTTGATTTCTTCTTTGACCTCCAAGTTACACAGAAGTGAGTTACTGAGCTTCCAAAGGTTTGAGAAATTTCCAGAAGGACTTGTTATTTATTACTGATTTAATCCTATGCCGCCAGAGGACAGGCTTTCTGTCTTGAATGCTAACTTAACTGGAACTTGCTTTCTGGTCCAGAATGTGAGTTTATCTCGGTGAACGCCCTGGATGCAGCTGGAGGGGACACACTGTGTTGAGACAAGCCGGACAGACCTCTGTTATCACAATCCTTCCCTTCCAGTCCATGTTCCCAGCTTTCTTCTCCAGAGAAAATGACCACAGGCAGATGCTTTGCGTTTTTCCAGAAACTTCCTATGCAAACATGGACTTCAAGCTACACTTCCATTTAAGAAAACTCCGGGGACACATTTCATGAATAGTTTTGTTTTGTTTTGTTTTTTTCCCACATGGGTGAGGTAAGACACAATCTCACTGTGTGGTTCAGCCTGGCCTGGAACTCAGTATGTAACTTAGGCCAGACTTGAACTCATGACAATCCTCCTGTCTCAGCCTCCTGGGTGCTGAGATCTCAGGTGTGAGTGAGACACTATGCCTGGATTTTCACATGTGGTTCTTTTACGCCTCTCTGCCTATAATAGCAGTTCAAAGAGGGCCACTTAGATGGACATCATGGCATCTTTTTCAGAGCTGCACAGTATGCCAGGGGTGGGGGGAGTGCGTTTCCTAACTTGGGTCCTGTTAAGCACTACCAGGGTGTGTCTAGACTTTTGCTCTGACATTAACTGCAATAAGGATTCTTTTTCTTAAGTGTTTGTATTCATGTGAAAGTTGTCTTTAGAATAAATTCTTAGGTGTAGAACAGTTGGGTTAAAGGGTGCATGCATTTCTATGTTTGTTAGGTGTTATTTGATTGCACAGAAAAACCTTAGACCTCTTCTTGAGAGCTTGACATTCTCTCACCAGCTAAGGAAAGTAGTTTAAGAAGTTGAAAACAACCTTACAACTTCTTTTAGGTAATTTGTATCAATTAAACAACGGAAAGGAGTTCTTAAGCAGTGACCAGTGGTGGTTGTTCTCTTGGGTCTGGACAGGTGTTCAGACTGGGCCCTCCCTGCTCAGCAGGCTGCCCAGTGTCCTCTGAACAGATGTTCATGCCTGTCAGAGCAGCGTGTCTTTCAGTGTTGCTGTCGTGAGGTGGGTGCTGGGAGGAAAAGTGTTAGAGACCATTTCCGGCAAGGCTGAGAGCCAGGGGGATCTGTCAATCAAACCACTGGAGTAGCTGGGAAACACTAGGCACCCTAGACTGTTATAAAAGTGGAGTTTTGTGGAACACACTAAATGTCTGAGTGTGTGCACATAGGCTAAACGCTCTTCCCGAGCAACAGACACTGGGGAAAGACAGTAGACACCTCAATTAGAGGTGACAGTCACTGCTGCCACTAGACTAAAAACCTTTAAAGATTTTTTTGTGCGTGTTAACCTGTATGTATATCTGTGCATCACATGTACGTCTGGTGCCCTTGGAGGTCATAAGAGGGCATCAGATCCCCTGGGACTAAAGTTAGTCATGATTGTGAGCCACAATTTGGGTGATGGGGACTGAACCTGGATCCTCTGGAAGAGCAGCCATCTCTCCATTCCTGTGATGTCATTAAATCTTATATGAGCTTGTGAGACACAGTAAAAGCCACCCCAACCACTTATTATTTATTTATTATTTTTACCTGAGGCCTTTTATTTATTATTTATGATAATTTATTATGCCTGAAGCCAAGGGATATATGAGGGATGGGAGACAATGAAGGGACGTACAAATCTCCTGTTTGCCCCTGATGGGGCCCAGAGATTATAACCCAAATCCTCAGGAAGGGCACCATGTGAGTGCCCTTGGATCCACTGAACCATCTTCCTGCTGGTAGCTCCTCTCCATCCCAATTTCCCATCAGCCCTTTGCTTCCCTCCCTTGTTGAGACCAGTGTTCAGAGGCTTCATTCAGAGAAGCAGGATGCCAAAGATGGCCCAAGATCAGGGAGAGACGTTTACTGGGCTCTGTGACTTTGAAATGCTTGACCAGGTGTCTCTGTTTGTCTTTGGGACAGGGATGACTTCTCAGGGAAAAAAATGTGTGGATCTAGACCCACAGCCACACCAAGAGCCCAGGAAGAGAGGGGACAGGGTTCCCCACTGCTTCCTTCCCACCCCTTAACTAGCAAGCAATAGGTAGTAATGAATGTCCACTCATTATCAGGCTGCTGCGTTTCCAACAACACTGAGAACACCGGTAGATTCAGAAAAGAGGCAGAGGGATGAATTTAAGGCTGGGTGTGGAGGCAGGAACATGGAGAATTCAAGGTCATCCTTGGCTACATACTGAGTTCAAGGACAGCCTGGGCTACACCTGATCCTGTCTCAATTAAGACAAAACAACCAAAGAACAAGACTCAATGCTGGGTACACCTGTGACCCCAGCACCTGTGAGACACCTGGTTTGAATAGCTTAGCAACCCAAGACCACTCCTGCCCTGAGCTATACACATGCTCCTTACCACACAAAGCAACCTGTCACTCCACCTCACAAGCCCTCAGTAACTCCCTTTTGTGGTCAGACACATCCTGGAACTAGGGGCAGCGGGCTGCTCCAATTTGGACTGGTTTTGGGTACTCGCACAATAAGGAAAATTGTCCTCTGCGTGACTTTTCGGTGAAAATCTTCCATTTACCATCTTATGCCTATGCATGATTGGGCATGCGTATGATTTAAGCCAGATGCATCATGGGAAAGGGTACTGCAGCAAACCAAGGTTTATATAATCCGGGCCTGTCAGTCAAAACAGAAAATCATCCACAGTCTGCCTCCAGCAACCAACTCCTCCTTCCAGACCCACAAAACGAAACTCCAGAAGTAACTGGGGGTGAGGGGTGGGGGGGAATCTTGAGCAACCTTGCTGGAGTCCACCAGTTCCCTGCACCTTTCCACTTTGGGCTTTTGCTTTGCCCCTGAATAAAAGTCCCATTCTGTGTACTTCATGGATTCTATGAAGAAGATACCAAGAATCTGGAAACACCTGGTCTAGACAGCAACTCTGGTAACAGTTGGGAGGCTGCCGCAGGAGGATTGCTAGTTTGAAACCAGCCTATGGGCTGTATAGCTCATAGCTGAGGTGGGACCCAGGTGAGGGGTAAGGGTGTCTCCTCTGCCTTCTGGCTTTGGGGTTCTGGGTTTCCTTGCCACTCCCGCTTCCTCTTAGTCTATTGGTTCTGGTAGGGCTGACCCAATTCTAGCTCCAGCTGTGGGCTATGACCCAGATCCATATCTTCTGTCCAACACTGTACCTAAGCCACAGAGCCTGGCTGCAGGATGGCCATGTGACTAAGCTGGCCAATGAGAGCACTCTAGGGCTCTGGCAGAAGTGTCCAGAAGGAGGAGGCGTCTCTTTGTGGTGGTGTAGCAGGCAGGATGAAGTCCTGAGATCAGAGGCCAAGGCTCAGCAATTTGTCAGAACCTCTGAAGTTATGCTGATCCCCAACACTGTGGTTCCACCTACCTAACAAGTGTTTTATTTGTTTTTTTTTTTTTTTTTTGTCTTCTGGAGCCTAAGTCCTACAGGGGTTCCCTAAAACTGTGGTGCCTCAGAGATGAATGTGCCCTAGGGCTGTGTAAGGGTTCTACAGAGCTGAGGCCTGTGAGTGCTGGCAGTTGTTCTGAGAGAACAGACAACAGAGGGCCTCTGGCTTGCTCCTAGGCATACTTTTCGTGTGTGTGTGTGTGTGTGTGTGTGTGTGTGTGTGTGGTGTGTGT